TGTTATAAAGAATTGTGTCAGATTTTGTGTTGTTTAGCTTCACATATTGTGGTCTACCTGTCAAAAATTCCAGGACCCATGCTGCGATATGAAGTAGCGACAAAATAAAAAGAGTTTGTACGCGCTTCGCCTGAATCGAGAAAGAGCATTAAGCAACCGTAAAGGAGAGTTTCATATGAATGGCCTACTCTATGTCAGTGTCACCCCCACCCATTCAAAAGCCCCAGTCGTTATCCACAAGAAGTAACTTTTGAGAAACATAATATAAGAATCGCAATCGCATATTTTATGCATGCCTTTATAGCTGCAGTACTCATCACCCTGGCCGATATCGTCCACAAGTGGGCGATTTGGTAATTTTGGTGGGCGGTAGGGATTATTTAGCTAATGACAGGTATTATTTCATGCCCAGCATAAAAATACCTGTAGTCGAAAGCAAGCTATGAAATTGTTGACAAGCATGTCACGGTGTGTAAAGCAAATTAACACTTTTCATTCTTCAATGCCTGTTTACAAAATCCCCCGACATCAAGCCCCACAATGCCGTAAAAGGATTGAGCGTATGACAATCTGCTGTAAGAAAATAAATAGATAAAAGTTTCTAGAGCGCGTTTCCAGTACGGATGGGTCACAGAGTCTAGACAATTTGGCGACATGTATTAACCATTAACCGTAATGTACACTCAACAAGAAACCCTACCTTTAGATGCCTTTTTTTCTATTACGACAGTAAGCAAACAAACGGAAATAAAAACAGACAGAAGCGGCTAACAAATTAATGAACTCATCCCGTTTTATTTATACTAATTAGACGACGACAATTGCAAAATAATAATATTATAATAGTTACAACAACAACATAAAAAAATAATAATGGGAAGAAGAAGAAGAAGAAAAAGAAGAAGAAGAAGAAGAAGAAGAAGAAGAAGAAGAAGAAGAAGAAGAAGAAGGAAAGCAGAAAAAACAAACCCAATCTGGGGGTGGGAAACTTCAGTCCGCCATCCTTCTATCGCAAACTTTCTCAGCCATGTCAGGGTCTGTATGTATAGATTTCAATCACGGATGTCGATGCGCGGCTTGATCTTTTATGGATGAGAAACCCCGTTATGTGTAAATGGGTCCTCTCTATTATAAGAGCCGTCGTTTAGACTTCGAAACAAAGCATCTTCAAATGTCGCCTGGCGTGGCCTCACAAAACCGCTGTTTTTCGTGACTTGTTTTACGGATGCCCCACGGACAAAACGTGAAAGTAGTGGAGTTTCCATCTTCGTCTTTGTGTCCCAATGGTTGGGGTCAGAGCTCAATTGACAGACTGCTGTAATGTAACGGGGTGGTCATTGAAGGATCGGGCGCAGAGCGTTTGTTTTCAGGCGATGAGTCGGGCGATCTACCCGACCTGACCCGACCCTACTCGACCCGACCCTACCCGACTCGACCCTACTCGACACGACCCGATCCCATCCGTATTGGGCACCCGGTATTAGTCTCTACGTTGTAGAATGCAGAAGACGTGAGTTCGGTCCCGGAGTGGGAAAGCCTTTCTGCTTTTTCATCATTTAATCTGTCTGTTGGGATGGTGTGTATTTCTCGACCCGGGTGGGTCCTGACAGGTGGGGTTGAAGCCGCCTCCTAAAGTATCTAAATGTCGTTGATGGAGACGCAAATGTTACAATTGCTCTATTTAACAAGGATGTGTGGATTGTAATAAAATCTCTAAGCTAGAATATAATAATAATATAGTATATTCTCATTATACAATATCTCTCTCTCAGTCTCCATCTTACTAATAATCCAATTATTGATCAATATTTATCGAGGAGCCTCAGCAAGAATCCATCTTGACAACCACGTGTCAGAAAAGTTTGCCATAGAAAAGAAAGTGAGGCAAAGATACCCCCATATCACCCAAACTATTCACAGCAGCCATTGAAGATATCTTCAAAAAGGCATCGTCCAGTAACGAAATTTCAATTAATGGAGAGCACCTGAACGATTTTGGATTCGCCGATGATGTGGCTTTTTGTACAGAAAATGAACCTACGAGCGTAAATGTCATGAATGTCATGAATTAGGCCTTAAAATCTAAAGAGATAAAACCATAACGAAAGACGCAAGCGACAACACTATTGCAATAGAAAACAAGAACATTAGTGTAACAACGGAATATTCATGTTTAGAACAAATAATAAATATGGAGGAGAGAAAAAAAAGAGATACACAGAAGGGTACACGTGACTTGGAGCTGTTTTGGAAAATACAAAAGAAATATCTAAAGATCAAAATCTGCCAATATCACTGAAAAGACAAGCCTTTTACTAGTGCTTTGTCCCAGCAATAAGCTGTGGATGCAAAACCTGGCCAATAACCTGAATCATCATTAAGACATTAAGGACAATGGAAAGGAAGATGCTGGGTATATGGATACAAGGTCAAATGGATCGCACAAAATACGACAGACGTCTCCAAATTGTCATAATGTCTACAGCAAAAATGGAAATGGGCTGGTTACATCGGCAGAATGAAGGACAACAGATAGACAAAAATGAGGAGAACCAGAAGGAAGATGGCAGGACGAAACCAAAGAGCAGAGCAGATGGGTACAACTTGGACACAGATAACAACTGATTAAATAGAGCGCGTCGCTTTTGGAGGGTCACATCCTGCAGTGGACGAAC